GACGAGTTCCCCTATATCAAGATCCACCAATGGGAATCCACTTAGATTGGAAAACCTAGAGAATACTTAATAGAATTAGGACCGACGTCGCTCCAGTAAAAGCCAACCTACAATCTAATGAAATGGGGATAAATCATAACGGGGACACCCAGTGTAAATGCGGCCAAGAACACACTATGGAACATGGTCAAGATCTATTTAAGGTCAGATTACCGTTAAGGATAATGGAAATAAAACAGTAGAATCCTGTGTGAAACTGAGCCATCTTGTAGTAAAAATTCAGATGTCTGACCCAATATTGATTTTTATGAAAATTTTCATAGAAAATTTCAAATTTTTTAAAAAACCGGAGGCAAATCAGCTTTTTTTTTCGAAAATATTCATCCTTACATATTATGTAGTAATAAAAAAAAGAATGTTTCTTCATTATGATGACATAAAACTTGTCAATAATTAACAGTAATTTTAGGAAGACTAAAAAAGATAGAACGTTTCCAGACAGACAAATCTATTTCCAAAAAAATATTTTTTTTTGCAAATCTGTATAATTTTTATAATAATTGAAATATAATGTAATAATTGCGTATATTAAAAACATATAGGTAAGTTTCATTGCAGATAAAAACAAAAAAATAAAAGAGAAACTCTAATCGGAGGTTAAAAAACTATATCACAAATAAATTGGAGCAAATAATAAAATACTTAATACTGACACATGTAGGTGGAGCTAAATGATAGATATGATGTTTTCTCTTATTTTATGAAAAATTGCATTTCAAGTCTCTTGTTTTTGGCTAAAAAGCCGGAATATATACTTTGTTGTATAAGACATTTCTTAATTTGAGAGACCTAAAGTGAAAAATTCCCATCAAATATTCCCATAACATACTAAAAATTAAAAACAATATCCACGAAAATTTTCTGTGGTAATTACGACGCGCGCCGGCTGGAACCGTCGCGCGTCGTCTCGGAACTGCGCATTGAATAGATTTCCGTAAACTAGTCTATTAATAATTAATAGACCAGTTAATACAAATTACTAATTATTAGATCCTCTAGTTCCTCTAGTTTCTTTCGGTCCGGGACTGGCAATATACGGCTGTCACACCCCACTACCGCCTAGCATTGCTCTACTGTCGCTTTGGCCGATCCGTCCGTGAACTAGTTTTTTATCTAGTTCCTCTATTTCCTCTCGGTCTTTTTGGCCCGGGACACAATAAATATACTGTTGGCGCTCTCCACTCTCGCTTAGCATCGGTATACGATCGCGCTGGCCGATCCGTCGCCGCGCCGTCGCATATTATTATATCTCGGTCACTATAGGTGGTCTCGGTCGGAATAGGTCCTGATGAATTAAGGATGCTTCACGCTATACCGTGACGAGTCCGAGCCGTGCGTCGGTGAAGACACGGCCAAACATTGTCAAGGGTTCTTTACACATATACATTCATGCCAGGCCGAGCACGACCCGAGCTTCGCCGGAACTCGTCCGTGCCCCGTCACAGAAATGTCGGCGTACATTTTTTTTAGGATCCGCTCCGTTCCCGCCACGTTGCGGAAAGCATGAATGCACTTTTCCTGGTGCCCCGACTGCAATCTGCAGTCATGATATAAACAAAGTACACTTTTTATCACGTCAGTAGTAGGTATTAGTGAATCTTACAGCAGTATTTGACGATAGGGTATGCATCAAACTGGACAATGAAAGGATGTAATGAAGAAGATAGGTCCTTCATCTTTCCCTTTGAGCAGGTGTTTCCCCTGCAGGTGTTGATCTTTATTCATCAACTGCAATTGGTACCAATTCCATTTGCGAAAACTTTGGCATTGTTCGTATTCATTCTATATACTATAGGAACTAATATGAACCCCGTTATCAACTCGGTGTTGCATATACAGAAGGATCGGACGTGGCTCGGTGTCTACTTCACGGAACGTGTCCGGCTCAGACACGGTCCGGTGTACTGTGAATCATTTTCTCATCATTAGCCTTTTAAGAAACCGGGAACTAGCTCCTTTCGTACCGGGGTCGGAATAATTCACTAGAACTAGTTCGTTTACGAACTACGCACATCTATAAACTACACCGTTTAAAAATCGTTTTTACCCAATATAAAAATAAATTACAACCTTCTTAAGGCTAACTGGCAGTAAGCGTCATTAAAAAATATTTAAAAAAAAATAAAACATTTATTTTCCTAATTACCAGCGAATAAATAAAAAAATATCTGAATACCAATGAACTCATTAATACTAACATTAAATTACTATTAATTATAATCATTAATAACTCAGTTAAGTAAGTCACGGTATTATAATAATTAATGCACCTTACTTTTTCGTGCCCGGACAATAAATATCTATAATATCTAAAATATATAAGTGTAATTTAAAATTATTTAGCCCAATACCGAGCAATGTCTATAGCATTTTCTTCGGCGTTCCATAAATCTTCTAGGCTACAGGTATGAGGGCAACTTCTGCAGGACAACAGATGCTCCATATTTTGGGTTTCGCCACATTTACAGTCCGTGTCCTCGACGTCGATAAGCCCCCATTTGGCTTTGTTGGTCTTAACCGGCGCTATTCCTGTTCTAATTCGGTTCAAGGACTTCCAGGTGGCTCAATCAAGATGTCGGCCGGTGGGATCTTTTTCCTTAAGAGGGTAATCAGATGGTGGATCTTCTGGAACAGCTTTTAAGAAGTTTTTTCGTGACCGGAGTCTGCTCGGTCCCTGGAACTCCCCATAACGTGGATGGCGATCATCGAACATCTGTTTAAATATTTCAGTATATTGGGACACGGAAGGAGCCTCCACGACCGTAATAGTGTCTCAAATTTTGAAAACAAAAAATACTATTGCTGGCGTCCCCTGGAAACGTCTGATTTTAGACGGCCAATCCTTCTACCACCGGACCAAAGTGTACAAAGCGAAGTGTACGAAGCGTATCTTAACGACATGAGGAGTAATCAAATGGACTTTGACGATAGCGACCATAAACATGGAGGGCATTACAAATAGCAAACAGAAATTATTATCCGATTTCTGCAGGATTAACAAGTGCGATGTTCTGTGCATTCAGGAGACACACAGGGACCATAAGCAAAAACAACCTAATATCCCTGGAATGCGGCTGGCAATTGAATTGCCCCATAATAAATACGGGAGTGCAATCTTTGTCAAACCTGACAAAGGAATTACATCAGTTGGGTCATCAAATACAAATAACATCGAAATATTAACAGTGGAAATTGGAAATTGCACTGTCACCTCCGTCTACAAGCCTCCTGCAGAAACCTTTATCTTTACACCACCAACGAATTTCGATTCTCAGAAGATTAGATTCGTCTTGGGTGACTTTAATAGTCATAGCCCTTCTTGGGGATATACAGAATACGACGCGAACGGAAATCTTGTCGAAGAGTGGGCAGAATCATGCGACCTTTCCCTTATTCATGACACCAAACTCCCACATTCTCTCCATAGCAATATCTGGAAACGTGGATATAACCCCGATTTATGCTTCACTACTCTCACATTGGAAGGACAAAATGTCAAAAGAGTCTGCAATCCCATACCTAAAAGTCAGCATAGACCAATAGGAATTGACGTATATGCAGCCGTCAGATCACCAACTATTCCATTTAGGCGTCGGTTTAATTTCAAAAAAGCCAATTGGCAGAATTGTTCAAATGAATTAGACTCAGCTATTAGTGACCTGAAGCCCACACCAAAAAACTACGAAATGTTTATTGAACTGGTGAGGTTAGTGTCAAGAAATACCATACCAAGGGGATGCAGACAACAGTTAAGTATATTCCTGGTCTTCCCAACGATTCTAGAGAACTGCTAACTAGATACGAAGAACTCTTTGAGAGAGACCCTTTCAGTGAAGACACCTTTGAATGTGGCTCAATACTGATTCAAGAACTGAGTAATTCCAGACAGCAGAGATGAATAGACAAACTAGAGCAAATTGATATAACCCACAGTAGTAAGATTGCATGGAATTTCCTAAAAAAACTTGATGGCGACCCAATTGAAAGGAAACAAATCAGTAACATCAAACCTAACCAGATTGCCCACCAGCTACTGAAGAATGGAAAACCCGAAAAAAGAATTAGAAATTGCACCTAAAGGACGTACATGTAAGTGAACGCACAGTACATGTAAGTGAACACAAGATTAAACAAAGCAAATATTATGTCAAAAAGGCCAGCTTTTGGACCACAACTTACTAGGTCTGTTGAGTAGGACCAAAAGTAAAGGCATAGTTTTAATGTAAAAATTACGAAAAAATGTTAATGTTTTCTTCAAAAGCGAATATCTCCAACAAAAAATAGAGATATTGAGATGATTCAAAAAACAACTATCCAGAAAAGATGTACCTAGATCACAAAATAATTTCTAAATTTTTTGCTGTCTTAACATTAACCACAGAGTGTTTCAAACTTTCACCAAAATGTCAACACTTTGTTTCCCGCATATAATGGAAAAATTAATTTTTTTAATTTAGAAAGAGATAGTAAAAAGTCAAATAATTTAACTACATATTGCTCAAATAAATCATGAAAATCGGCCCACTAAAACAAAGTATATTAAACTTTAAAATACATCAAAATTTTAAGGTGCCCATTTTTTGTTTGGGTGAGTGTAGTGGTCCTGGATAATTCAGTTGTAAACCGAGAAGTTACTAATTTATTTATTTTAGTGAATATTTTTGTCATATTATTCAGTCAAATCGACAGACCGGTTTAAAAACTTTTTAACTACCCTTTTACGGACATTGAACTACAAACTATTAAAAAATCACTGTTTTATTATAATAGTTGTCGTAATAAGGCTCAAATCCGAAATTCATTTGTATAACAAAATATTTTTCGGATATTAAAAATTCCAATAAAATCTGATTCAAAGGATTTGGGGACATCATCGAGAAAAAAAAAGAAAACAGTGAAAATTAGTTTAAAATACATTTAATTATAATAATATGTTCGGTTCTTAAAAACGTTGTATTCTTTTAAACTTTTAGAGAATGAATCTGGTACATGGGAAAGCAATTTTAACACCAATAACTCCTAAACAGTATCCGAACCAAAGGACTTGTTGGCTGAATTGTTGAAAATATTCCAGAATTATTCTGCTTATTAGATCAAATCCATGAACTAATTCAGATGCTGTTTTTCTCAGACAGGACAAGCTGTGGCATGCTGTAATATTTAAGACAGTGTCTTTGAAGTGTCCTAGCGTTTTATCAATTATAGACACGACTGTCTCTACAGCGAAAGCGAATTGTTGAGGTATGGTGGCGGGACATTTAGGAAGTGACGAGAAGAGATAATTGATAGCGATCAATCGTATATCTTGTGCAGTCGATTCTTGAATAATCTGCAAGATAGAAAATTATGTGATTAGGACTGTGAGTTCAGCCTCGCATTGTCGTTATTAGAAATATATGGCGATTGTATGAACAGCTAAATTTAATATCTGGTCCGTATCAAATTAAAACTAACCCTTAACTGGCAAGATCTATTTAAATGTTTGTAAAATGTTTTCGTTTAAGAATTAGGCCTCGCCGCGCCATTTACCTTTAATTTAGGGTACAAATTTGCAAATGTTAAAGGCGCACTTGATTTTATCAAGTATTGTTCCCACCAGCGGGGGCTAAAGTTTCATTGGGGTCTGTAGCACCACCACGCCAAAATGTTTCATTATTAGGATGGTGGGTAGTCTAAAAAGTGTGCCTCACTGGGACGCTAATTTTGAGGAATCATTAATTGAGCGGTTTGATGAACATAAGGAGGCTTAAGTGAGATGAAGATCATCGATACATTGATTTTGCTCGGAAGAGTAACCATAACTCCGCTTCTGAATCTTTTACTTATAGAAGAGAGAAAACTGAATAATCAGTACCAGAAAAGAAAGAGTTGTGGTATATGTCAATCATATGTCAAAGAAGAAATGACAAAAAATAAAAAATTCATGAATCAAATGTGCACGATCCATGTTCGGCAAATGCGAATCCTATATTAGCATGAACTGTATTTGAAAAAGTTATATGTATACATTCAAGGTTTGCAGTTTTGTTGAAAATAATTTATGTTTATTACTTTAGCTTCACATTTCGGTTGTTTGTACTTTTAATAATAATCATAAAACATAAGATATATATGTTTTTAATTTATTTGAATTTATTAGCCAAGTTATATTTCTGTTGTCAAAAATTCCTAAAAATGCGCTTTACTTTATTTTTGTGTCCGTTCTTATTAATTTGATGAAAATTAATGAAATTGTTGTTCACAAGTTTGAATATATTGTAAACAATGTTAAAATAACAAGCTTTTTATAAAATCTCGTCATCATATATTTCTAACTGAAAAAAAAATTGGAAATTGGTCCGTCGGACCCTCGCACAGTGCTTCGAACATATGGCTCTAGAGGACAAAAATCCAAAACTTCTCTTTTATTGTAAGCAATTTATTCAAACTAGGTTTATTTGACACAAATGATGAGTACTCTCATTGTACTAAATGATGATGTTCTTAGTCCCACGTTTATGAAAAAAAATCTTATAAATAATAATATTGTTGAGTTCTGTTCCATCTAAGCAAATAATAAGTTATAGTATGAAAACGGTGTAAGTATTAAATAAATTCCTGTGATAAAAAAGAATTGAAATAACATTAGAACATGATTCCTACAATATAAGCCTAAGATAAGATAAAAATGTTTTTCTTTAATGAAAAAGAAACATTAATGTTATATTTTATTAAAAAAAAACTTAAGATACTATAAATTTACTTTAGGACAACAAAATGCATAGATCGTAACTACTCTGATTCAGGAGAATCACTGCTGACAGAATCTTCCAAATTTATAGTATCCAAATCACAGGTAGATGAAGTATCCTCACATATAAGATATTTCTGTACATCATTTTCTAATATGTTACTTTTTCGCGTTGTTACTGTTCATTTTGTCGGTATGAGGGGTTCGGATGTTAATAGTTACCTCTTTAATAGACCATATCCATATATTATTCTTTCCTTTTCTTGGGTATGAGATTTTATAATAAATGGAAAGATGGACACTTTTTTTATGCGACGTTTCGCTCCAACATAGTGGACTTTTTCAGGCACAAGTGGTGTCTCATTTGACTGGAAGGTTCATCAATATCTAATAAGAACATATTTTTTGAAATACAAATAATTTTGAGTTCTTGTCCTTATGATCAAGCCAAGTATTAGCCAGATCGGCATTGCTTATCAAGTTTACTCCATCTGAAAAGTATTATAAAATAAAGTTCGTCGCAAGCAGACGCAGGTGAACTATACAAAAATTAAAAGTTAATTTTTATACCAATTTAAGAATCATCTTAAAAAATAAATAAAAACTAAACAATCACGAACTTGTTTAGAAATAAATTTAAAGTACATACCTTGTTTAACAATATTCATAGTAGCTTTCAATTAAGTACGTACCCGTTTAACTCCATAATATACAGAACTACTATGAATGTTATTCTTTTCACTGATGAGATAATGATCGCAAAATTTATTTTTAGTGAAAATATTTGCTAACAAAAACGCTGTTTATGAAAAATAATATACAGGATGGTTGAACATTGCTATAAGTATAAAATTATATATTCAGATATTAGTAAATTTTAACTTATTTTTTGATTTTTGTCCATGGGACGAAGCACTGTGCCTCGGTCGGACCCCAGCACGCCATAAGCGGTACAAAATTTCACGACTCTAGTTGAGGGCTAAGATTGTTTTACTAAGCTATTGTCTTAAATACTAATAGTCTGTTCAAATAGTATTTTTTAAGGAACGTTTTGGGGTAGTTCTGATTTATTTTGTTCTTTATGTTTTTTTGGGTGCTGAATCCGAATCTTAATGTTTGCTAATAAAATTTCGTGACTGAACATAAAAACCATAAAAAACAATTTTTGAGTTTTTTGCTTATAACTCGTAGAGTATTTTGAGCTACCGCTTCAAAATCGATTTTTTTCACTGAAGACCGGATATATACTTTATATATCCTTTATAAAAAACTTAAGTTGTAACAAAAAAAAACTTGAAAAAGACTACTGTCATATTACATTCATTGAGCATATAAGTTTATAATGTTGTTGTTTACAGTCCTCCTGCCCTCCTGCATTACATATACATACTGCCATTACTCGCTGACGAGTATTTGACACGCATCAGAAGATGGTCACACAAGGCGTTTTCTTTTGAGTGAAAATCTATATGTGATGTTATCTGTTTACCGCACTCCGGATATCGAAAAATCTCATTACTTTGTTGCCTCTGATTTTTGGTTGTGGCTTTTAACTGTGTTTACAATTCTTCTCCATTGAGTTCTATTGTGAGCTGCTTCTTCCCACTCATTCTGCATGTGAATCCCCTTTAGGTTTTCGTAAGTAGCATATGTAGGTTAACTGCAAGCATTTTATAAAAATATATAGAATTATACAGGGTGTCCCAAAAAAAGTTACACATCAAAGTAAAAAATAAAGGTGAGTTTTATTAAAGAAGCGTATACCTAAAATCTAAGGATTTTGACATATTTTACATTTTGTGAAAATGAGAGTAAATTTTAAATTTCGATAACATCTATCTAAATTTTACTTGGCCTTGTATAGTCGGACATTTAATTACAGTAACCATTGTATGTTAAACCAAATTTAAATTTGACCCGAAAAGTTATACAGGGTCAGACAAAATTAATATGGAACATTAGTCACATTTAAAAACAAGTTACTCCTTTATTTTGCATAGCCCCTCCCCTCCCCAGTGTATTTTTCCGGTGTTCAATGGGGGATTTATATATCTTCACAATATTATTAAGGTTGCCTACCCCTCAGACAAAAATTTTTCTAGATGTTTTAATTTTTATGATTTTGCGTCAGTAGATCTTTATTATTTGAAAAAAATCTAGGGTGACTGTGTGATAAACCATTTAACAAAAATTAAAGATTGTAGAGTAAAGTACTCAACGGTAATAAAAAGATACATGTTTAAAACATATTTTAATTATTACAGAAATAAAACTAAATATAAACCTATAATTATGTGACAAAAATTAGCTAGAGGAAATCAAATGCTCAAAATGTTGTTAAGTGCATAAATGGTTGTCTTTTCAAAAAAATATTTTCATTTTAAAAGGCGTATGAGTCGAAAAGCAGCTTGAACCTCAGCTGACAGAACCTCGAAAGCAGCTACAATAATTTCTCTCATATTGTCGACAATAGTTGGTCGAGTTTTGTAAACACTGTCTTTAACATATCCCCATAAAAAAACAGACTAGATAAAATCAGGAGCATTTAAGTATTCTATTAATTGATGAATGCGCACTGCATTCACCAACTAATAGAAGCATATCATTTCTTTCTGATGTAGGATAAGTTTGCATTTTCGGCAAATTTCTGAGAATTTTTTTTGTTTTAACTGACACAAAATGATAACTAGTTGTTAAAGTTCGAATAATTGGATAGCTATGTTGAAGTAACGTCAGGCATATCACAGCCACCTAGATTTTTTTATCAAATAATAAAGATCTACTCACATCACAAAATCATCTAAATGAAAATATTTAGGAAAATCTTTGTTTGAGAAGTTTGTTGATTTTGAAGAGACATAAATTATTTGAATATCGGAATAATTTATTGAATATCGGAATAATATACTGGGTGTTCCATTTAAAATAAAAGAGTAACATGCTTTTAAAGGTGACCACTGTTCAACATTAATTTTTTGTTAACCTGTATAACTTTTTGAATCAAGTTTTAATTTGATTTAAAGTACAATAGTTAATTTAACTACATATTAGGCTATACCGGGTAAATTCCAATTTAGGTAGCTTTTATTGTAATTTAAAATTGTTTTTATTTCTAGAAAATCTTAAATATGTCAAAAACCTTACATTTTAATCATATAATTCTTTTATAAAAGTCACCTTCATTTTTCTCCCAGAATCCGAAAATCAATTAATATATAGGGTGTTCTATTACAAAAAAAACACAACTTTGATATGTAACTTTTTTTGGGGACACCCTATAGAACTCTCTATGTATATTTTTAAAAAATGCTCTGAATTAACCTACATATGCTCACAAAATTTCATTTCACTACAAACTGTCGTTCTCCTTGGAACCTCAGCGGCTTATGAGAGGCGCCACCCTGTATTGACTATTTAATCTTTAATATGAATTTGTATAAATCATAGATTTAGAAAGGTATAAATACTTCATCCACTCTCAGATGCAAAAAAGACCCAACTGAGAGTTTTTTCTCTGTGCAATGAAATTTTCTCTAAATATACAGCTATGCAGTGTGAGTCTTAAATTAGTGCAAATATTTTTAAAGCTGGTAGATCTCGGTAGAAGAACAGTTTAATTTCAAATTGGATATGACGGAATTATGAAGTTGCTTATAAAAATAAGTGTACCCCGCACAATGAAATATGAATCAAACGGAATACGGCAGATTTGACACTAATCGTAAGTAAGTTTTTGTTTATATTATCAAAATTAATATTAATTTTACCCAAATCATATGTCCATTTGACAGTAAAAAATGACTGACCATACAGAGTAACTCTAATGTTTTAAAGCTAAAAAGTTAAATGTTCGTAGGAGTAGCTAAAATTAAACTTCTTTAGGTTATAAACAAATAGTAAACCGTTTTGTTGCAAAAAGTCTAACAATGAGACAAATTTAAGTCCTAGTATTGTTGTATCATTTCCTATATTTCAAGTTTTGAGATAAACTAAAATTGATTTTGGCGTTATTTTAACATATCGGCTTGTGGCATATCGCTGAAAAGAAGATTTTAAGTTCTATGTAGATATACTAAAATATATACAGGGTGTTATTTGAAAGTTTATACTTAGACTCATTTTAGACGGATAAAAACTTATTATGTACGAAGTTTGAAACCTGTACATTAAAAAACATTGAAATGGTGGTATCTGCAATGATTTTGTCATCACCCGGTATAGATATATTATATAAGGGACGTTAAATGGTGGAAACGATGAAAGCGCTCTATATTTTAAGTATATGTATACCGAGGGCCTCTCAAAAGTGGCTAACCCCTATATCTTTTTTTATTTTTTCAAATAAAACAACGAGATTTGGTATGTTAGTATAAGAGATAAATTAGAATTGATTGACGTATTTAATTGTTTTTGGTCACTCCCGGTTTCACCGGAAATGACTACATCTTCTGATTATTAAATGACACCCTCTGTATTTTTTATTTGATTCGATAGAAAATGATACTCTGAATAGAATGACATATCATATGTCAACTTTTGACATTTTCGCATATGGTTTATTTGAAATTATAACATGCGGTTCATAACGACAATTTGACTCGAAATACCAAGTGTGGTATCAAATTATTCGTAAAAAATGCATTTTCCAAATATGCTGAAAAATTAAGAGTAATAATGCTTGAAAAAATTGAGATATGATTAATTATAAGATTTGAGCCTCTTTTAACCGACCACGACAAGACACTAAAAACATTAGACGATTAAATCTATTTTTCCAAGGCTCCTTGATTAAAAATTAGTGTTTTTAACACAGCCATGGCACTCTAGATTAAATTTTAAAATACAATTTGTTTTTGAGCGAAAATGTCAAAAGTTGACACATTATATGTTATTAGAGTGTCATTTTCTATCGAATAAAGTAAAAAAATACCGAGGGTGCCATTTAAAAACCAAAAGTTGTAGTCATTTCCGGTGAAACAGGAAGTGACGGAAAAAAATTGAATACCGTCAATCAATCCTAATTTATGTCATATCCTGCCATACCAAATCTCGTCTTTTTAACTGAAAAAATAAAGAAGTTATGGGGGTGAGCCACTTTTGTGACGCATCCCGTATGTGTAAATTATGATGAAAACTAATTTATGATTTGATACTATCATGAAACCCCCCTTATTAAGAAAATTTTAAAAATACTCACAACTAAAACGAAAATTATGGAAATAACACAAATCACAGTCGATTTCATTTTGGTTCGAAAAATGTACAGAATTTTCTCTAAATTTACTCCTAAATTATACACACACCACGCAGCAATAATGAAACGAAATTTGAAAATCGCACTTTTTTATTGGCTGGCACCGGCAAATTTAATATTCGGATTTAAAAGGCAGTAAAATCGTTTTTAGCGCAGTGGAAATTTGAATATTTATTAGAGTTTTGTGTGGAGAATTAATTTGCCGGTGTGTTTCGAAAATAGTTATGTTTGGAACACTTGTTATTACGACCGCGCCGATAAAATTTGCGGGATTTTGTTTTTTAAAAGCGAATAAATTATTATTTTCGAGCGGAAAAAACACTAACAGGTTTTTATAGTCGAGTAGTCAGATTAATCCGAATGTATTGCGTTAGTTTTATAATGCACGGAGATCAATATTATGGTTATTTTTTATTAAGCACTAAAAGCGATCAACTCAGTAACCATCAATTCGAAGTTGGTCAAAAAATGCCTGGTGGGCTGAATAAATTAGGTAAAGATAATAAAGTCCTCCTATACTGGGTGCCCGCTCACCAAGGGATAGAAGGCAATGAAAAAGTAAACGACCTAGCTAGAAAAGGAGCGAACACTTCACTAACTGGACCAGAACCGTTCTGTTTTCCAAACGGAAACAAGCTTAAAGCGGAACTGAAGAATCTGGAGGACTCCATTCGTACCCTGGAATGGCAACCCCCCAACGGCCTAAGGCCCGTATTTATAGTAGCGTCTCGAGACGCCAAGACAGTCTTGGGCTCTTGAGAGAGCAAACCACAGAATATACTAGCAAACGTCATTTCGGAGACTGCGATTTTCATTTTGGATAGTTTATGTGATCTGTGGATAGTTTCTTAACCTAACTTTTTAGTAAACAAAGTAAATCCCTTGTAAATAGACGGCCTGCAATCAAAACTAATGCGCTGGCAAATTGCACCTTCATAGGAAGCAGAGCCATAGAGCTGCCACAGTGAGGGAGGCAGCTCATCATTACCATACCATACCCTTGTAAATCCGTTTTGTCTGATTAAACAGTTTTGAATATGTTAGAAGAGTTTGAGGATATTTTGGACCATGTGGAAGAAGAAAATCGTCTTCGAGTTCCAAAAAGATATATACGGGATGCAGGAAATCCAATAGAAATGTTTAGCGAGGGGGGATTTATGCCGATATATGTAGGTTTAACAAGGCTACAATTACAGAAACTATTTTACCTCTTATAAATTGAAGACTTGCAAAAACATACCAATCGTGGTTTACCCATTTCCCCGTTATTCAATTAGTAATTTATTTACGGTCTTATGCGACTTGTAGTTTTCAGATATTAAATGGAGACTTGCTTGGCATTAGCCAAACTACAATAAGCCAGATTATCAAAAGGGTGTCCATTTTAATAGCAGAACATTTGGGTGAATTTGTGTGATACAACTATAAATGGTTGAACAGAATTATTATTCCAATGATACTGGCTTCAGCTTGTGCAGATGATGATAACAAATGGGATACATATATTAAGAATATAGAAAGAGCTATAAATACATCTGTGAATAAATCCACTAGCGAAAAAAACACCTTCTGAATTATTATATGGATATATTCTCCGAGGATTGAAGATGGATAAGTGAGGTTATTGATAGTAGAGAATGAAAAGTATTCGATTACCTGAAAAATTGAGAGAAGAGGTCAAAGAACATATAGAAATGGAACAAAGGAAGTATAAAAAAAATTATGATAAACATATAGATTTAAAGGGATCACATATAAGATAGGAGACATGCTCTATATGAAAAGTGCTACTAAATATAAGGGACCATTTACAATGACACAAGTTCTACCCCATGACACAGAAAAACACATAAACCGAAGTATGTAGAAGGATATGTTTAATATTTAATGAATACTACTTTTGGTTTATTTAGTTTTGAATAGTTTCATAAATTTTTAAAATCTTTAAATATCATAAATTTAGAATGAATATTTTTTTATATTGTTGTAGGTAATTTTTAAGTTAGTTTTGTTAATTAAGTCTGGGAGACTAAGACATAGGTTGGACGAGTGTCAGAGAATAAATTAAATTTATAAGTAAAGGCACGAATTGTCAGACATACATACATATACCGCCATTACTCGCTGACGAGTATTTGACACGCATCAGAAGATGGTAACGAAAGGCGTTTTCTTTCATGAGCTTTCCTTTGACTGAAAAGTCCGATACGTGATGTTATCTATCTACCGCACTCCAGACATTCAAAAATCTCATTGCTTTGTTGCCTCTTTACTCTTTGGTTGTCGCTCTTAACTGACTTTACAATTCTTCTCCATTCCGTTCTATTGTGAGCTGCCTCTTCCCACTCATTCTGCTTGTTAATTCCTTTTAAGTTTTCGTGGAAAATATCGTTGAACCTTTTAAGTTGTCCACCCGGCCTCCTCTTACTGTCTACAAGCTCACCGTAAAGCAGAGATTTTGGCATGCGGTTTTCTTGCATTCTGCATACGTGACCAGCCCATCTTAAGCGGGACTTTGTAATCATGACTTCAATACTCTCGCAGTTAGCCTTTTCAAGGATAGATACATTTGAGACGTGATTGAACCATTTTATTCATTATTGTTTGTTTATTCATTATTGTCAGACACTGATTTACGTAGCAGACTAGAAATAAAAGAAGAGAGAAGAATATCATCTAGACGACAAGAAATAAGGAAGCAGTAAAAACGCAATAATCATAGAATGTGTATTGTGAAATATTATTCGAAATAAAACTAGAAAACATGGAGTATCGACTTTATATAGAGTAGTCAACTCAATAAGAATACAGAATTTACACCAAGCAATAAAATCTTGAAAATTATAGGTATACGGTATACATCCAATATATAATATTATGTGATATGATTTATATAAATATTCATGATGAAGAAAATAAAAAGACAATTTTTTTAGTTTTACTGTCAACATTTGTAAGGGCCAAAAAGTTTTTTTTTTCAAGCGGTCAACTCAAACTTAGAAATAAAAACCATAAAACAAATTTAAAGGGCATAAATGTTGTATAATAAAATACAACTAATAATATAAAATAAAAACAATACTAATAGATGGTACGTTACTAATGGTATTAGCGAACTTTGATCTGGGCGCTGCAAATAAACAAGTGTTGTATAGCAACAAAAGTCTTGTATGACCTGGCTACCGAGATGACCTACCTGCAATTAAAGAGAAAAATGGTGTGAGCAACAATGTTACCAGTTATTATTAAAATGAGGTGAATTTAAAATTAAACATGCACTTGAATAGTTTCTTAATATTCCAACATAAAAGACCCATGTTTAAAAACAATAATAATATGCCACAAAGGCATGTAGTCACACAGACTGTTCTCACACAGAGAATATAATGCACAAGTTAATAGGTACGGTACGGGGATAACTACTACGGGGATAACTACTACAGACTGTTCTCACACAGAGAATATGCCACACAGGCTAGTCACACAGACTGTTCTCACACAGAGAATATGCCACACAGGCTAGTCACAAAGACTGTTCTCACACAGAGAATATGCCACACAGGCTAGTCACACAGACTGTTCTCACACAGAGAATATGCCACACAGGCTAGTCAAACAGACTGTTCTCACACAGAGAATATGCCACACAGGCTAGTTACAAAGACTGTTCTCACACAGAGAAAGTGACACAAGGCAAACTACGCCACACAGGCTAAATATAATGCTCAAGGTCATACCAAACTACGCTACGGGGATAACTACTCTTCAAGGCAAACTACGGGACTACGGAACCTAACCTAACCAAACTACTTCTCAAGACTAACTACACTACATAGGGTAACTGCGCCACAAAGTCTAACTGCAGAAAGTAATTAAGCTAAACATAATTCAATCAAGATCAATTTGATAATATCGATACACAAATAAACTCTTATCTTCTGTTAAAGTCACATAGACAAATATAAATAAATCAGTATAATGAAATACATCAATATCTTCATCTGCAAATCACCTTTTCTTTATATTCAATCAAATATCTTAAAATTTATCTGAGATTCAGAAATATAATATATCACAATAAAAACAATAAACAGTAACCAACTAGTTGCTCAGTGAGATAAAATAAACTCACCTTAATTACTTCTTATTCGGCACTGCAATGGAACTCAGAACTACCACAAAACCTTAATTAAACCTCAAAAACTTTAATAGTTTTAATTTAATAAGTACCACTTCTTTCTCTGACGCTGTCTAATACTGTTTTAGACGGCGATACTGTATTGCGTGTTATTAGAAACCTTTTTGAAAAGTGCAGGTACATGAATTTTGGGCTTGTTTTTGTTTACGTTCGAAATTCCATTGCGCTCCGGCTTTTGAAATGTCTGTTTATTATTACGTCAGATAAAGAAAACGTAGCATAGAAAAATAGAGTTCTTACACATTTCGCGTTCTTCTATGGGCAAAGTTATACCTGGTTTCTTGTCGATTACCTAGCTGAAGAACAGGAGTCAATAGAAATGGCCTACATCTATATGCATTGTCTCCAAGAAGTAAACCAGGAATATCACGCCTTTCCATTAGCATTCTTAACTTACTTCGATCGAATATAACACTATCATGACTTGACACTTGACCCTGGATATCCAACTATAATATCCATAATTTCTCTTTTGGGACCTGAACATTTAGGCTAAAAAAACTTGCGATTTTGAAATACTTCCACATTATCGCATTATTCTTGATTATCTGGTTTATTGTAGGTTGGCTAACACCACTCCATTTACCATTTACATACTGATCATTAGAAGGCGCTTGAAACTGTAAACAAATTAGTAATTGAATAAGGGAGAGAATGGGTAAACCACGATTGGTAGGTTTTTGCAAGCCTTCAATTTATAAGAGGTAAAATAGTTTCTGTAATTGTAGCCTTGTTAAACCTATATCGGCATAAATCCCCCCTCGCTAAACATTTCTATTGGCTTTCCTGCATCCCGTATATATCTTTTTGGAACTCGAAGACGATTTTCTTCTTTCCACATGGTCCAAAATATCCTCAAACTGTTCTAACATATTCGAAACTGTTTAATCAGACAAAACGGATTCACAAG